GGGGCTGACCAGTCTGTGTAAATCTTATCTTAAAAGTGGTCTGTACTTAACTTCCCACGTGTAAAACAGGGATATTGATCCTTACTCAGATATAATGGTTAATAGAAGTTAAGTTTGGAAGAGTTTTGAATACACAAGCACAAGACCAGTTTAATTCCTATTTCCTCTTTTTCCTCTTTAAAATTTGGGATTTTGAAAGTTTTCAGGGCTTTTTTGGTTTTGCTTTCCCGTGAGAAGTAGAGATCGCATATATCTATCGCTCCTTGAGTTTCAGATTACAAAGTGTGCAGTTTACACTGTAATTCTCACTATTGGGACAGAGGTGGGAAAACAGGTCCCTCAAAATGAGGGTCCAGTTTTCACAGTTGCTGAGTACCAGACTGAGAGCAGTTTGACATCTCCCAGCAAACTGCAGGTCTGGGCCCTGTTTCTAAAGTGTAACCAAAAGATAAATCTACCTTTAGACTTTTCTATTGACAACACTGAGACTCTAGGAAACAAGAACAAACCTTCTGGGAAAAGGACCCCTTTCCTTCCCCACCTTGTTAAAAGAGGGCTCATTCATTGCTGTCAACATTTGGATAGATAGGAGGATAAATGTATGTATTGTGGCAGTCCCTCCAAGCCTCTGTGCCCTGGCTGTTAGTCTGTAAGTCAAGGCACTTAAGCGATCGGTTGTAATTTCTTCCTGGTCTAACTGTGGGCCTTCAACAGGCTCAGAGTAATGTTTAAAGCAGCCACGGTAGATTACTGTGTCTGGAAGTGAACATTTACTGTAGATAATCCAAAATGACAGGTCTGGTAAATACCACTGGTTAGATTCTGATCAACCACATATCATCTTTCTGATTCATAGCAGAGGAATTGCCTTCTTCAAATTCCACATGCAGACAGCATCCTCCAGGGAGAGCCTGAAGTTGTAGGCTGTTATTACTCACTTTCAAGGGTACACCTCCAGTAAGTTTCTGGATAACTTCTTTTATCAGCTAACAGTTTCTGCCAATTTTGCTGTCTCTGTTAACTTACTGCAAAAACATATTATTTTTAAAAATCCAAAAGCTAGGAGCTGCACACTGGATGTTTTATTTATCATCTGAACAAGAAAAGCTAATTTTCAGAGATGCTGAGCACTGGCAGCTAGAGAACAGCCTCCACTTCCCAGAACCTGCCTTTTTGTTATCCTCTCAAACCCATATCAAACTGCTTGAATATTTAGCGTTTAACTCTCAGCATACACAGAAAAAAGTGGGGCCACTTGCCCAGCCCCAACCTCTGATTTCTCCAAATAACCTTTATACTTGCAGCTGAGTCCAAACCTCTAAGGTCCCACCAGCGCTGGACATGCAAATCCTCACTGATATTCACAAGCCTTGAGGCACACCTAGCTGAGCCTCACTCACAGGACAAGAGGTAAAGGTTTTAAACTAGAAGAGGGTAGATTCAGGCTAGGCATAAGGAAGAAATTTTTTACAATGAGGGTGGTGAAACACTGGCACAGGTTGCCCAGAGAAGTGGTAGATGCCCCATCCCTGGAAATATTTAAGATCAAGTTGGATGGGGCTCTGAGCAACCTGATCTAGTTGAAGATGTCTCTGCTCACTGCAGGACTAGATGACCTCTAAAGGTCCCTTCCACCCCAAACCATTCTATGATTCTATGCCAGCTGCACAGGCACAACCACCTATGCCAGTCAAAGCTACGCTGAAGGCAAGATGGCATGTGGGAATTTGGCCCAGAATGTCAAATCCCATTCACAAAAAGAAACAACAAATACCTGATAGAACTCCTAAACCTTAATTTTTGAACTGTTCTTTCCTTCAAAAATAGAATACCAATTAATAACAGTAATAAAGCATGAGTAAAACAAAAGGCTTTCCAATTGACACAACACATGACCACAGGATTATGATTTTGGAGCCTAGACACTTAACAGTGCTCTCTGAGTTATTTCCAGGATGCAATGAGTGCGTTTGCTCTCCAATGAAGTGCAGTACACCATACCTGTCTTCTTACCTAACAGCGTGGTCGATGGAACAGTGTCTGATGATACTTTGAGATGGAATTCCGTTCACCACACGACACGGATCAATGGAAATCAACAGAAGATCAATAGGAAAAAAAGTTACAAAAAATGAAAACAAGGTTAGCTGTATCTCACACTCTGAAGATTCAGTCTGTAAGTCATATTGGGAAATGTACAAAAGCAAAGAAAATTTAGAAATGAAAGAAAAGTCTGGCACAAGTACCTGAGTAGTAGGAATTCAACAAAGATTTGCTCTGAAGGGTTTTGCTTTGGACAGAAAATGAACAAGGAGAGGGTGATGCTAGGTAGGAAAGACATAAGGAAAAGACTTTAGACATATATTAAGAGAAAGAAAGAGAACAGGGAGAATGTTCCTCAAAGAACACAGTAATATGGGATATATAAGGCTTATCAAAATGAATTATATTTTTCATCTCGACATGCATATTACATTTATTACACTGTCATCATGATGGATTTTCTTTAATATAAGTACTCCAGACCCCAAATATAGTATTATAGTTACTGTAAATCAATGTGTTCCTACACAGGATACACAAATAGGGCTATATTCTAGATATCCTTTTTTTAACCAAAGGAACAAACTTATGTTTTTTCTCTAGGAGAAAGATTCTTAAAAACGACTCCCAAAATACAAACTACAGAGAACCAAATGCAGTATTAACAGTAAGATAACCTTGCTCATATGCAATGTACACTAGTACCGCAAAAATACACAGGTAGGGTAGCAAATTTTTGTTGTTAAAACAAGACAAGATAACAAGGGACTTGTTCTTCAACCCAGGATGGTTCATAGCAAATCCTATAATCCTTTTTGCTGTGAGTTGCATTTT